ATGCAATAACATGTGTTTTTTTGAACAAGATTTTGTCAGAATAGAGTCAATACCAATGACCTACACCAGAGAGAGAAAAAGAGGACGTTTAAGTCAAACTGTTGATTTAAACTCATTTCAAACCCTTATAGGAAACCTGATTTATCTTTTCTTTGATAAAAYGGATGACTTCAAGTTGAGGTTGTGTTTATTCAGGTATGCTTTATTTATTTCATGCTTACTTTTTTCTTTTTTATCATTTAAGGTGATGAAGCACCTATTCTTTTTGCTGTGCTGGAGTTTTCTTTGTCTGATATTTGAGCTGTGCACCATTTTTTGTTACCTTGAATTTAAGTGGAAAATAAAAACTGAAAAGGATTTTAAGGCGTTTATTATTCATGCATGTCTAAGTCCTAAGCAACTGCAACTGACTGCAGCATGCATATGCGAGAATAATTGTTTTGTGGCATGTTTGGGATTTATTTCTTGTTGTGCAAAATCTAAGAATTGAAACAACGTCTTCTGTTACATCTGTTCGTTTTAATCTCAGTTTTTCCACTTTCGTAGTTTTCTGTTCAGGTTCAAGCACCTGACGACAAAACATGAATAAAAAAACAACCAAAGTCAAAACTTTGAAAGACCTTCAGAGACTTTTATGAGCTACTGATCAACACCAATTTAAGATATTATGTGAAGAACTGGCTCCAATTAGGAAAAAAATGAATTACAGAGAGTTGATTAAGACTTTTGCACAGTATGTATAATAAGAAAAAAAAACAGATTTCAACATAATTTACAATTATTTAACATATAGCACTTTTCTGAAGTTTTAATGGGAACAGGTGGATCAGCCTAACACTGACCAAAAACTAAAGGAAAAATACATATTAGCACCTCATTAAAATGATGTAACTGTAATTACACATAGCAGCTTTGAAAGTAGCCTTAAATGTGGTTCAAATTAAGCTGTCCACTGATGAGGACTCTTTTGTCTCTGGTCTCTGTTAGTCTTTAAAGCCACCATAACGTCCTTGGCAGCATCATCCTTCCCCTCTCCCCAACCGACCCTCCCCTCTGTGTCACAGGG